AGGAGGAGGAGGAGGAGGAGGAGGAGGAGGAGGAGGAAAGAGTGAATGAATATGAGGCAAAGACAGAGAGGTGGGAGAATATGTCCCTGTTGCCTCTGACAGAAACAAACTGTTGGAACTTTTCACCTCAAGTTGTATTTGAGTGTTACATGTTAGTCTCTGTCACTTCAATGCCTAACTGGGTCAGACTCTTCAGATTGTCAAAATTGTCTGTCCTAGCATGACTTCATTTGTGTCTCCTGTCAACAAAGCCAGGTTTCACTTGGGTTATTTTTTTCCCCTTTAACTAAGCAAAGTCCTTGTCTTTTACTGTAATTACCAGACTACTCACATTCACCATGATCCCTGGTAGATTCCAGAAGGCCCACTCTGTGCTTTCTACTGACTATGACTGATTTGGGAGGTGACCAGGACCACTGGAGCGGCAGGACGAGTGTGAGCAGTCAGGTCCTGTGTGGAGGCCCTGGGTGCCTCTGGCTTCCTTTGTGCACTGCCTGCAGCTTCCGGCTCCCCCTTGGCAGGGGCCTGGCCCATGCCCTGGGCCTGCCTGGTCCTGCATACTCTCCAGCTCTGTAGCCATCCTGGTTCCAGGCAGTGGGGCTTGGCCTGAGCACAGAGGAGACTGAGGGTGCTGGCTGGGCATGGACAGCCTCTTCCATGGACAGCTGCTCTATGACCCAGCTCTGCCACAGCACGCTGCCCAACACTGTGTTGCTCTCACTGGTCATACTTCCTGAGTGACTGCCCTATCTCCCCAAGCCTTCCTCAGGGCTGAGCCCCAGGTATTTTAGAATAGGAAACCAGCAGGGAGAGTGATATCTTCCTGTGTTCCTTATTATAGCAGCAGAGGGCAGGGAAAGGAGTCCTTGGCCCCTCGTGATCTCCCAGCCCCTGGGCAGGATTCACTTGGGGGTGACAGGAAATCTCAGAGTCCAGGTCTCAGCTGAGGAAGGTGAGGCACAGGGAAGTTAGGAAAGTGACCTCAGCTGACAGATGGCATTGGATGTCAATCACAGTGTTGTACTTACTAGGTTTCACTGTCTCCCACTGCACAAAAATAGGAACTGTGGCCTGGAACTTGGCGCTGTCCACAGGGCCAGCTGCTTCCACCTGCTCGGGACAGGGTCTGGGGCTGTATGCATGTGTGTCTGCGGCAAGGTCTGAGTCCGTGGGACCATGCCTGTGCCCACGTAGCCTCTGCCTCCAATCTCACCTGCACCCCAGCAGTGGGGCCTCCCCAAGCTCTCTGTGCTGTGCCCAAGGCATCCCCACCCACCCCAGGGCAGGTCCTGCTTAGTCAGAGGCCAGGTTTGTGTGGGCAGGGTCAGGCCCCGCCAGCAGGACTGCTTCCCAGCAATTCTGTGTACACGCTTGGGAGGGCGCCCAGGACCTCGTGCTCCTAAGCACAAGCTGCTCTGCTGGTCAATGCTCTAAGCCCCATGACCCAGCAGTTCAGCTCTTAGTAACTGTTTTATTTATTTACTTACTTATTTATTTATTTATTTATTTATTTATTTATT